TTTCTTTTACCTATTTCGAATTGCTAAAGATCTTGTTTTGATACGTATTTAATCCCATCAATTTCACCAGTATTCACTAAATTTTCACCAAAGTACCTATGTTCCCAATCATCTAATTCTCTATCATGTAAATTCATATAACTTTCAGAACTAGTATAAGTTTGTTGAAATTGTTGAGAAAAACTTTGTAATTCTTGTAAACACGTTTCCGTAGGATTTATTGCTTTAATTTCCATATGGTACATAAAACCTCTGTGAACAAATGCAGTTTCCCTTCGCTCAATATCATTGACTCTTCCACCACCAAGCAACAGCATCACAGAGTATACTTTACATTCAAAATTTTTCAAAAATGTCATTAAAGAATTAATTCCTTCATCAGACAATCCTTCCGAATCAACAAAGTAAGATTTTACTTTAAAAGAACCTTGGATTTTAGAATCTTCCATTCCATCAAGAAGTGAATGATACAAATTATTTTCATTATATGTTACATTTTTAGGTTCAGATAATTCAATAAATTCCTGTAATTGGCGTTGCGATTCATTTGCAGATCCTAGATAAATTCCATGAATGTGGACTGAACGACGACTAATGCTGAATAAGAGACTTAAATTTCGATGAAGATTATTTCCCAATTGATTCATTACTGAATGTAATAATGGTGCTTGATCAAAATCGTACTCAATAGATATAGAAGTTACAATATTCTCAATAGGATGTATTTTGAGAGTTAAAGATGTAACAATCCCATAACCTGCATTTCCTGCACCTCGAATAGCCCAAAAAAGTTCTGAATATTGCTTAACACTGGGAACTATTGTTCCGTTTGCTAAAACCATTTCTGCATCAAGAATATTATCTGACGATAATCCATATTTTCGATTAAGATATCCCATACCCTATTAAAAAAAAAATAAAGGTAAGCCAATGTATATAGTTTTTTATAGTTTAAAAAATATATTTAAATAATACTTACACCACCTAGCATAATTCCACCTACTCCAACGTAAGGACAAGTTCCAGCTGGAAATGCAAATGAATGCTCGTTAACACTGGTATACAATGATTCTAGTATATTTCCTGTTCCGATCACAGCAGTTTGTGATTTTACATCAACAGTAGTTGTATTCAATGATTTAAGATCTACAACTAAAAAGCAATCTTTATCTCCAATTCCATAGCCTTCATAAGAATGACCACCTGACCTCGCAACAATAGGGAAACTTAAATTTGTCGCACATTTAACAACATTTTGAACATCAAATACATCTGTAGGACGAACAAATGCTGCTGGAAAATAAATAACTCGTGTATTATATTCAACATTAAGATCATCATTATAGGAGGTAGAGTTATCTCGAAAATGAATAGATCCTTTAATTTGACTTTGGTTAAGACACTCTCGAAGGGCCTCTTCTTGTGGACATTTACCATCCGGAATAGTGTATGAAGAAGTATGTATAACCAAAAGAAATATAATAAACAAAAATGAAATCATTTTTTTTAAAATGACTTATAATAATAATATTCTTTTTAATAATTGTGTACAAGTTTTAAAAAATTATTTACGCGTAATTTAAACTAGAGTTGCAAATTGTAATTGTGAAAATTTTGTGAATACTGGTGAAATTGATGGAATTAAATACAAGTTTTAAAAAATTATTTACACGTAATTAAAACTAGAGTTGCAAAATTGTAATTGTGAAAATTTCGTGAATACTGGTGAAATTGATGGGATTAAATACGTATCAAAACAAGATCTTTAGCAATTCGAAATAGGTAAAAGAAA